CTCTTAAGCATAGATAGAAGTCTCCTCGTCTCTGCATCTAAATCAGCCCTGCAGCTGCAGCAGTCAAGAAACGGAGATCAAACAGCTGCCTAAACCACACACACACACACACACACACACACACACACACACACACACACACACACACACACACAGTGCAATACAAGAAGCACTGAGCAGTGGTGCAGTTTCTGCTCAGTAGAACGAGCTAAAGCTAACAGCACAACGTTCCTCTGCTTCTCCGTCCTCCATTTTCCTTAAACTGACTGCAGCTGTTAAAAARAAGCTGCAGAACTCAAACCTGCAGCTTCTTTTCTAAATACGTTTTCACTTTAAAGACCAATTGATCTTTGAAGAAATGCATCTACTCCACCACCTTTCATGCTAGTTTCAGACTATCATCTCTTAGACGAACCATAAATATAATGTTTATTATGTTATATTCTGATCACCCACAATTAATGGTTAGGACTTAGGGTATGCATTATGAATGATTCTCAGCTACTACCACAGCAGTTTTTAGCTCAGTGTCTATAAAATTAGCAGAGTTATAGTCATTTTTATGGAGTTTTTTTTTTAAGGTCAGCGGGGCCGTGGCAGCCATCTTGAATTGGGTTGGCTCCAAAAGTGCATCTCTTGTAAAATGTAAAATCTTTCTATCTTTTCTAAAAGTTTGACAAAAAATACACACATTGGTTCATGAGATATTTTGCTAAAAGACAGAGTTTATTCTAATAAATAATAGTAAAGTTGTGAACACAGATGATGTGTGATTAATTAATGCTCAGAGTGTAAATTGGGGATCACTATCAGCTTCTAACAAAGCAAGTTTTGGCTCAATAGCTTTCAAATCTACTCGAGTTGTAGCCATTTTTGTATTTAATTTTAATTTGCTGTAGCGGCCATCTTGAATCTAGACTCGTAGACATTTATCCACACATTACTTTCTGAAAGTTTTATTATTTTATTGCTCGTAATAGAAACAAATGAACACAGATCTCTTTTCCTGCAGCAGTTGAGAAATAACTGTTTATTTTTAAACCCCTTTTTTAAAGAAAATGTTAAATTTACCAAWAGAGTAATGTCAGCTTTGCTACAGATTCAGTCTTTGTAAGAGTTTTCCCAACACCTGGTGTGTGTTATGTTATCCCAGTGAAAAGGCTCTGCTGGTGAACAAATTCGAGCTGAGCATCCGGACCGAGGCCACGCAGGGCCTGCTGCTGTGGAGCGGGAAAGGCGTGGAGCGCTCCGACTACATCGCCCTGGCCATCGTGGACGGCCACGTCCAGATGACGTACGACCTGGGCTCCAAGCCCGTGGTGCTGCGCTCCTCGGTGCGTGTCGACACCAACCGCTGGATACGCATCAAAGCCAGCAGGTAAGCAGGGGGGCTGACAGGTAGCTGGGGATCAGCGCCTGAAAAGCTTTTACAGTTAAAGAAGGATTAGACTTAATCCATATTGTCTTTGTGTCGCTGCAAACGGTGCGATATCCCGCACGAATCCCCCCGGCTGCACGGTGATCCTGAGCCCTCAGCTGATGACTCTGATTAGTTTCAGATTRAGGTTATTTTTACGCCCGGTCACGCGTGCATTATGCAACACATGCTTACAGTCATAAAAGAAACAGGCTTAGACGTGGGAATAAATGTTTGGAGAGAAAGAACACAGCGTAGCATTCCAAAATGTTTGGCATGTTATGGAAAATGTAGGCAGAGTAGGAATTCATAGAATTACAGGAAAAGAAAAGTCCACCCACTTTCAGTTTTAGAGTTTTACGTTTCAGGACATAATGACAATGAACTGGTCTTTACATGTTTTTTTTAATTACTGCTCGTAAAAAAATTGCCATAATATCAGTAGTTACTCTGTCTCTAAAGTTAAATATTGTAAGCATGATTTATGACTGGATGCCAACTCCTACCTACGCTTTTTTTTTTTACCTACGTGAAGAAATTTATAGTTATTACAGCCTAGTACTGATGTTAGAAGCACAACACTAGATTATTAGGGTTTCTTTTTATAATGTTTGATCTATTATGTGTTAATTGATATAGAGTAGTTACATGTCTGAATCATAAACAACACATAAGTGAACCGTTATGATAACATAAGGTTGAGATTTTTGAATGAATGCCTGTGATTCAGCCGTAGGTCAGTAGGGGGCGAACTCATGCATTGAAGAATCATGTATAAAAAGATGCACTTCCTGGCTTTTGGCCAGTGTGGTTTTCCTTGTCAGCCCGGTGACAATTGAACCTCACTCGGTTCCAGAATTCTGGTGTTGTATGATTTTATTCCGTCCACAAATCATTTTATTTAACCATGGTGTTTTCATCTTGACTTCAGTCGTATTGAACACGTATTTTTCTTACATACGGAAACAGCCGAAGTRACTGAAAATAGTTCGACAATAGCAACGTCCGTGGAAACACTGCTCAGGATGAAGAAGTTAAACTTGTTAAAGCGTACAGATAAAATGTGGGTTAGGTTGAAACTGTAAAGGCTAAAAACTGTTTTTTATAAGCTACATGKGTTTGAATGAATTTGCCTTCATGCTGCTCCACTGTTCTGCTCAATCAGCTGTGTTTTGTCTTGATATATTTTGCACAAAAGTAAGATTTCTTGTTTGATAGATTATTTCTTTAACAATGCTCACACGTCAATCCCTTTGGATGTTTGCTTGTGTAATGAGCCTCAAAAATCTGTAATTTTCGCAAAAAAACTCTAATGGGCAATAATGACACCACCACCCYTTATTTCTAGCAGCACAGCTGTTTGGAAGATGGAAGGTTTGGTATTTATTGTTTGTTAGTTTTTTATGTTTACAGGCTGTAGACCTGTTAAATAAATTTGAAGCAGAGTTTTAGAAAAAAAACATAAAAATCTGTGAGATTGCTCTATACGTCCGTATACCTGCAAAATGAGGGAAAATGCGTGTCAGTTACGGAAATCCGTACAACTTGACATGTAAGAATGCTTCTTGACACCTGATTGGAGGCGACTGTGGGTACCAGAAGCWCAAAACAAATGTTAAAATAAACTGTTTGACAGAGRAGKTTTGGCAAATTTTTCCTGTGCGCAACCCACATCCTCAGCTCTACTGCTCATCCCACAAATGCATGTTCCTTACAAATGTGGCACCATTTAAAAGGGAAATTAACAGGCTTTCCAACAGTGTAAGCTTTATTACCAAGAAGCATTGTTACAGCAAAGAAAAAAATCTACCAAACACAAATTTACTTCATTTTTGTACTAAGTTTAATTGTCTTTCTTGATCTTTACTTTTATATTTAGCAGTTGATTCCCTCTTATATTTCGCACTCCGAGTTTTCCTAATTTCACCAATTATCTCAGAAATAGAGAAAATAAAACAAACCCTGCAAACAAGAAAAAAAAAACTCTTGTTTTATTTATTCCTGCTTCGGTTATTTTACTCAAATCTTGATTAAATATATTTGTTTTTTCACATTTTAGTGCCAAGCATGAAATTGCTTTTTATTCTTTTGTGTTCTGTCAGTTGGCTGTCAGGCCTTTGTTGTATTATGTTGCTSTTATTTTACAAATGTGTTTTCATTTATTTTTGTAAATACTTATTTTTTTTATTTCTTTATTTGCACTGAAACATTCTGTAGCTCAAGAAAAATAAATTTAAAAAATAATGCTGCCCATGGGGACAATGAAATAAATTTGATTTTGAAAGGAAATTGAAATAAACAAGACAAAMACAAATAAAAGGTAGGTGTTGTGAATGACTCAGTTATGATCACAATATTTATTAAACTGACTGAGTTATAGCTTGAATCAGTTGTATGATTATGATTATTAAAATGTATTTAATAGTTCTTGAGATTTTCAGGTAAAAACATCCTTTTGTTTGTTTATAATTAAATCAAAGTGTAGTTTGTGTTGATGTACATTTATATACATGATTAATGCATGGGACACAATCATACCGGCCCGAGCAGATTCCTACATTCATAATAGATGGATAATCACACTGGAAGTGGGAGAACACAAAGCATGTGATACTTTTTTGTCGCGCGCTGATACCACATTAATTGATTTCTTCATTAGAAACAAATTAACAGGCTGAGCATTGAAAGGAAGCCATTTACCACCTTCTCCTGTTCTCTGCTTTATCGCTGCCGAACATTTGTTTTCAGCATTGCTGTGAATGGACCCGTGGTGGATAATTAGATTGGTTTTTATCATTTAAGGCAAGAACAATTGATCCCCAAAAGGCCGCCGCTTCCATTTTAAACAGGGATTTGGTCAAATTTCATCCTGGGCTTACAGAGATAACACACGAGATGCTGAAAGATTGTATGTTTTGGGTGTTGATTAAACCGCGCCGACGTGGCATTCCGCTCACATCGTCGCATAATTTTTTTCCTCGGCGCGTGTGGCTCGCTTTAAACGAGATCTGTTAGCGAGTTCAGATTTGCAACGTCTTCAGAATTCCTCGGCGAGTGGCAGCGAGAGGCCRTCGAAATGAATGAAGCATCTGTTCGCTGAACGCCGCTTGGCAGAAAACCCCACTTCTGCACGCAGGAAGTGGCGCGACAGAGTTTTCATGTTTCAGATTAAAAGTAGCTGTTTTGGGKTTTTTTTCTCTCTCTCTCTCTCTGACTGCAACTGTCCCTTTCTCTCCTCCTCAGAGCGCTCCGGGACGGCTCTCTGCAGGTTGGCAACGAGGCTGCTGTAACAGGGTCGTCACCGTTAGCAGCCACTCAGCTGGACACAGATGGAGCACTCTGGTTAGGTACGTGTCCACAAATGCGTTTCAGAAATAAGATTTCGACCTGAGAATGGGCCTGAAAATGCCCTTTATGGAGCTGAAGGAATGCTGTGAAGAAAACTAGAAAAACATACATGATGGGGCAGGTTGGGTTTGGATAATTTTTTCTCTTACTAAATAAAAAAATTATTTAAAAATATCATTTTGTATTTATTCAGGTTATCTTTCTCTTGTATTAAAGGAGACATTGTTTTAAATCATTCATTTTGGGTCTAGATAAAGTGTTACTGCAATGTTTTGGTCTGAATTCCTCATTGTATCTCCACAAGCCCCGCCCCTTTTCTGAGTTGTGTCTCAGATCAACTCATTTTGAGGCTGTCTCTTTAAATCCAGCCAAGGCGCTTCATGCTCCGCCCCCCTCCAGCTTCCAGACCAGTTCATTCTAACTGGATAGAAGGGTTAATGAAAATCCAAGGTAACATTCAGGACAATCATCAGGTTTACGACAATATAGCTGCGCAGAAAGGTTTTATTTACAAGTGAATTAAAAGATGTCAACAAGGGAAGACTTGTCCATCCAGCCTCACATGTTGGGGCCAGAACTTATTTAGCAGTTCCAACGTAAATACTGTGATGTAATAGTTCAAAAAAATGTCACAGAAAATCAAGAAAACTGAACGGGTTGAAAAATATGACCCAAACAGATTATAAAAATAAACTCAATTCAACTTTTCTGCACTCTTAGAGACACTAAGTACTAGGGGTGTAAGAAAATATCGATACACTGAAATATCGCGATATTTCATTTCCCGATACTGTATCGATATTCTAAAGCCCTGTATCGATTTTTTCATTAAGGTTTAAAATGTCAACTTTCCTGCCAGCCGTTCATTTTTGTGTTGTAGTTCAGCCTCTGACCACTAGTTTGCAGCAGTGAGCCAGCCATTTGGCTCCTCTACCTATTGAGCGCCAGAGAGTAAGAGAGTATTAGCATTGTGAGTAAACATTAGCTTTTCTTTTTTTTTCAGTAAGAGGTTTTGATTTAATAGAATTTTTGGACAAAAAAATCGCAATATATCACAATATATTGCCTTGCTTACAGTATCGCAATATATCGGGATATATCGTATCGTGACCCCTCTGTTATGATATGTATCGTATTGCCAAATTCTTGCCAATACACAGCCCTACTAAGTACACAACAAAATGCCTTCAACGGTTAAAATAGTAGATTTTGCATGATAACCCTTTAACATTGGCTTTTTTGATCTGAAATATTTAGATGCGATCAAAAAAAAGCAAAAATCATTTTAACGGTGGCAGATATTTTTCCACAGCTCTTTAACATTCTRCGTTTTCATCCTAAGCGTTATTAGAATGCTGCCAAATACGAGTGATAAACTCAGAGGTGCTGCAAACGATAATAAAGTCTGTAGTAGTGAAAACTGATTCCAGTGGGAGAAAAATAAATAAATAAATAAATAAGTAAGTAAAGGTTCTTTTCTGATCCCGAGATGAGAAATGAAAGGCTATCAAAGCCACCGAAAAGTTTTCTGCTTTTCTGCATTGACAATGACCAAACTGCCTGTTATCTGCCGGGAGTTTATTTGAGTCTGAACCTGGTTTTGAAGAATTGCTTTTTGAAAGAACTTACAAGGCCAGACAGGAACGAACACTGAGAAAATAACACTGAAGATTGCGGAGAGGTATAAAGTCTTGAGGGTTTTATTTTTTTTCTATAAATGCAAAGTGCACAACGGAAAAGAGGCGGCTTTAAGAGGAGAAGCAAGCTGAGTGACATTTAAGGAAGTGGCCTCATTCGGAGGTGCGCTCAGGTACACGTAGCCATCCACACACAGGGAGGCAGCGCAGTGGAACAGGTGCTGAACGAGCCCCGCAGCAAGAATATATAATCCTCACGCGGCCCTCCTATCGCGAGCCCTTCTTTTTAAATCCCCCTTTTCAGCGCTCATCATTAATTCATCTGTAACTTGCATGAAATTAGCCCCGTCGACTCTTGATTCGGAGGCACACAATCCGATTAATGGGGGCAGGGACGGGGGGATGTAACGAGCTGGAAAGGGAGATGAACTCGCGGCTCAACATAACGGGGGACGAGGGGGAGGTGAGGTAATCTGAGGTGAAACGGCAGCCAGGTGAAACCTCACAAGCCTCTCAGGGGATCCTGAAGRAAAGACGTTTGATGCTGAGTTAGCAGGAAGGAAACTAAAGACAACTCTGCTGGATTAGCGCTGGGACTGAAATCACTCCCAGTAATTAATAAGGATAAAAGAAATGTAGAAATTTTTTTTTTTTTTTGTTTGGGTTGTTGAAGTGACATCCATCAAATACAAATACAAAAAGTCAAAGAAAACATCTTGAGATTCAAGAAACTTGACATAATGCACGATTTTACCCATTTTGTCACATACAGCAGGTAAAATAAGTATTGAACACGTCACCATTTTTCTCAGTAAATATATTACTAGAGGTGCTAATGACATGAAATTTTCACCAGATGTTGGTAACAACCCAAGTGATCCATACATACAAAGAAATCAAACCATAAATGTCCAGAAATGAAGTTATTTGTAATAATGTGGAATGACACAGGGAAAAAGTATTGAACACACTTACTGAAATTTATCTAATACTTTGTACAAAAGCCTTTGTTGTCAATGACAGCTTCAAGACRCCTCCTGTATGGAGAAACTAGTGGCATGCATTGCTCAGGTGTGATTTTGGCCCATTCTTCCACACAAACAGTCTTCAAATCTTGAAGGTTTCATGGAGCAGTTCTTGAGATGTTTTGACACGCCGACAAAAAAAATAAAAATAAAATTATTGCAGACCTTCATCACCTCTCTTCATCTGTAGCACATTTTGAACACTTCCTGCACTTTAACACTGCGTCAGGTTGAAGACGGAGCGTCTCTCTCTCGTCTAATCTTTCTGTAGACTCCATCTCTCTTTGATTGTGATGATTGGAGGAATAAAGCGTCAGCCTGTCATGTCCATCAGCTGCCGCCGTCATGTTGTCTGGAACAGCCTGACGAAACCAAGCAGCTGCTTTTGATTGTTTTTACGAAAATTTCAGGGAGTTTTTCAGCTTTAATTTGTTCTGAAATCCAAACCCTCGTCCTGCTGTTTGATCTTGAAAGCTGAGTTTCACACATAAAACCAGCTACTAATCACGCAGAATTTTTTTTCTGCCGGTGATGGAAGCCAAACGTCTTTCATACCAGAGTTGGAAACTAAAATCATCAATAGCCGTTTTGATCAAATCTTACATTCTGCACGATCTCATGCGATGAGACCATAACTTGTATAATCTCTTATTATCTGTTTAGTCGAAGTTTTCAGCGTTTCATGTCTCTAATCTCATTCTGTGCCGTCTTCGATGCGTTAATCCCTGCGTCTGTCTCCCCCCCACCCCTTTCCCCTCCTCAGGTGGTCTGGAGGAGCTGGCAGCGGCCCGCCGGTTGCCCAAGGCCTACAGCACCGGCTTTGTGGGCTGCATCAAGGACGTGGTGGTGGACGGCGTGGACGTCCACCTGGTGGAGGACGCCTTAAACAGCCCGAAAATCTTACACTGTTCCGCCTCCATGTAAAGCAGGCAGAGACAAACTAAAACGTTGCGAGACCGAAAAAAAACAAACAACCCACCACCGAAACAAGAAACCCTCCCCGCTCCCGCCATAAACCATGTCTCCTGCTGTAATTATTTTCTATTTTTGTATACTTTTCTTTGTTTTTATATGGAAAAATATATATATGTTCTAATTTTGGTTAATTATTTTGCTCTTTTTTGTCCTTTTTTTTTAAATCCGCCTCTACATTTACAGTACATTTATGGCCCTTTTGTTTAAAGATAAAKCTATTTGTGGAGAAGAATTTGTACWTTTTCATTTAAAAGCATCACCTTCCCTTTTTGTTTCGCTCATGAGTTGAACGCGGCGGACCTCGCTAATCATCTCTGGTTGTTGCCTCGTCTTGGTGCCATACCTACATTCCCCACAAAGCATGGCCTCTAAATGTAAAGACATACATTCCCCCCCACCCCCCCACCATGAAAGCCGGGACACTGCGTGTTTGCAGTTCTTCGAAAAACGCAAGCCAGCCGGCATAAACTTTCAAGAAACCCACTATATTTTCCTAATGAGACTTTTCAAATATCAGTCAAGCTGCTACAGTGAGTAAGTGCACTGTCAAAACCACTCGATCAACCCCACATCTCACAGCTTCTAAATTAAAAACAAACAAAAAGAACAGAAAGGAAAAAAAACTCTCTCCAGTCGGTCCCATCAGAGGCTTTAGTTTTGAAAGATGACTCACTAACACTGCAACCTGACGTGACGGAGAGAAGAGCTCTGCTTTCCACAACGACTCTCATATCATTAGTCATCAGTCCAGAAATGAATCATAGATACTCATAAATGTTATAAATATAGACTATATAAATAATACCTAAGACTGTGAATATGTAAGATGAGTTCTGTTGTTTTTTGATTTTTGTTTTTTTGGTTTTTTTCCGGAGCTATTCTGTTCTACAATCAGCAGATGAACTGATGTTGACCACTATAAATGCATGCACTTCTGCAGTGTTGGTTTCAAATCTGGTTCTTGGTTTTATTTTCATTTAGTTCCCCCAAAAATGTTTTTCTTTTTCTATTTTTATTTCCTCCTTATTCCTGAAAGTACAGATTTTAAGAAATATGTTATAGGATTGTTGTTGTGTTTTTTTTTCCCCCCGCAGCATTCTTTGCTTTGGTTTCTTTTTGTGCTGCATTTTTTTCTCGGGAGCAGATAGTTTTTAGAGCTGTTACCGTTTCTGACCTTAAGGAGGTGCTGAAAGCAAAGACTGAAGAACTGAAAGGACAGACAGAGAGGAAGCGAGGGGAGAGCTACTACACTTGGGGACGTCCTGCCCAACAACAACAACAACAACCACAATCAGTTTGTCGACACAGAAGACAAAAACAAAAAAAAAAGACTTTAATTCTTTTTATTTTATTTTTTTAATCTTAAAGGAACATTCCTGGAGGAACACTTTTTGTTTTTCGGCTGTAGAATGAGAAACAGAATGATGATGAGAAAGAGAGAGTGGTGTGTTCTTGTGACTTTTTGAAGCCATAACAGCCACAAAAACTGAGAAAAAGATCACAATAAACCCGACGGTCCTTGCGAGTTAACACAGCAGTGCATGGGTTTGTGTAACAAGTGCAGATTCTGTAACTTTCCACGGACTGTTGCAACGCGACGTCKTTGCTGAGCGCAATAAACTGAGACGACGCCCGTTTTGATATGAGAACCTTGGCAATATAATAAGAAAAATCATGCCTGTTCGTGGCTGAGTATCAAATGGTCTTGTACTTTTTTTTATTAGTATTCATAAATTCTTAATTATGTTTCCCTCCTTAAATCATAGTTTTTTTTTGTTTTTGTTTTGTACAGCCCTGCGATTTTAAAGTGTAAATTTAGCAAATGTGTGATCTGTGGAGGTTTCTGTTTTTAGTAATATACACTGGAGTCACGTCTGACTTGTCTGTTCACCCATAAAATGATATTCTTCTGTACATGAGGGGGGAATTTACCTTAAAGCTATAATTATGTGTGTATTCAAGCTCCAGACTGGGAAACTCTTTCTGGTGTCCTAAGATGCTTTTAAATTCACTCTTAGTTTTGATTTTTTTAAACAAACTATTTTTTTATATATTCAACCAAGCTGGGTTGTAATTGGACACAGCAGCACGTGGCTTTGTTGGAAACTGAATTGCCTTAAACACCTGTTCACCTGAGCAGGTCATAAAGACGTCATCCATGTAACCGTTTCCTTACTTTAGCCGGTGTATTAGCCTCATCCCAATAATGTAAAAAAAAAAAACAAATGAGTAATACATAAAAATAACAATATTAGTAATAATCCCCAKACGTAAGGGAGAAGAAAAATAGAAAGCATTCCGGAGGGCTTCTACAAAGGTCCCTTTTGGATTTTCACAAAAAAAAGAATAAGAAAAAAATCTATTTACTGTTTTTAAATTTGTTTTTGTTTCTTATTTATGTCTACATGTGGATAATCCTCCATGTCTGACCTCTGTAAACTACTRTCTGACTGCACAGACCTCGTCAAAGGGCCAGTGCGCCGAGTAAAGAGTGGCATGACCTGAACATTACTAACTTTATGACCTTTGTCTTGTGTTCCTACCACCATGAAATAAAACGTCAACCAAATGGAGCTCGTTGTCTTCATTCTGAGTCGCTTTGCTTTTTAACGCTATGTTTGACCCGTCACATCAAACCAAGGGTCAAGTCCAGTTTGGTCAAAATGACCCCAGCGAATTTTCAGATTCCCGCTGGGTCATCCTGAGCGGTTCCAGAAATATGAYTTGATTTGTCTTGTTAATCACAATAATACATTGATTTTTGGATTAAATCCAATGTTTAGGTTCTTCTAATGAGGAATTTTTTGTGTCATTTTGTGGAGGAAACCTCAAACAATTGTTGGACATTAAGATTTAGCTGGAAAGAAAAAAGGGCATTTTACTCATGTTTTTTTCTAGCTATATTGCTCAAAAAGTGCTTTAAAATATTCATGATTATATTCCACTGAAACAACCCATAGATAAGGTATTTATTCATTATATTTTAACCAAAACACTGGCTGCCTATTTCTCCACCACTTTGGGACTTAAAAGGKGTGTGTTGTTGCAAAAAATACTGAATTTTTTATCATGTTATGTCACATATTTAGGAACTTAACAGTTTGTGGAACAAATGAGATTTTTAATCTTTTAGTAAAACGAGGCAAAGAGTAKCGTCACCCCGAGGGAATGGTCATGTGCAGCTGTCTGAACACTTGCTGCTACAAAGCTCCGCCTGTTTGCACAAAGCTCCTCCCTGGAGCTCAGTCTGCAGCAGAGCTCCCACGCCACAGAGCACCCCTCCCCTGAAGTATTGTTTGAAGACGTGCTGAAGWGGGAGTGTCTGAAACGGTAGGAGGTTCTTAAAGAGACAGAGACCAATTTCAAGGTGGTTAGATGGACTATGATGCAAATTCATTTATTTTTGATATATAMAGCATTTTCATAACTGATGGGGACAGTTATTTGATTGCAGTGTAGAATTGAACTATGCACCTGGAAAATACATAATCCCCCACCACCACCACCCTTTAATCCTTGATTCAATGTGATGGATCATGTGTCCAGAAGGAGATGGAGGTRGATGGAAGAGGCAGACTTGAGATGGAGACCCCCCAGAGAGTGAACAGCTGAAAGAAGAAGAAAACGTCCAGGTTTACTCATCTGCATGTGCATCAACAACGTCTAATTCTACGTGCAAATCAATTAAACAGCATTTTCAGCTGCAGCTGTGTTTTTACTGTTTCCCCTCACCTGCAGCGGTCCGATGGGACCTGAAACCCCAGAACTGAACAGACACATTATCCTCGAATCCCCAAAACAGTTTGAAGCGTTTTATTTTTATTTTATTAAGCCAAAGGTTTAATGAGATGAATTTATTTGAAGTTAATGACAGAGAAGGACACCGCACTCGTCGTGGGCTCTGTTAATTAAAGCTCCATAAAAATGTCTGGATGAAAGAGCTCTGTCCGGTGAGAGTTTCAGTGGTGCGAACTTCATTTTCATGTTAATAAGTCAAAGTTGTTTGATTAAAGAGCTACCCAGGAATGGAACAGTAAAAAAAAGAAAGTTTTTTTGATTTGTTGTAAACAGAAAACTAAATAAGAAAAGAGAGCTTTTTGTGTGACTCAAAGGAACCATGATAACTGGTTTCTGGAGACAACAAAATTACTGAACTTGTCACCAAAACAAGAGAACGCACTAGAAACTGGTTCAACTCTTGTCAAAGCTCTTCAAACTGTTACGTTCCCGTTTTAGAAAATATTTGTGCCGTTTGCTCAAARGTCAGAGTTATGAAGTTTGCTGCAAAACTCGGCTGTTCTATGAATAAAAATCCTTTAAACCTCATCTGAGACAAGCACCTCTCACACATAGTGAGTTTTTAAATATTATTTTGCTTRTAAATTTTACAATTACACATAAACTTGAATTATTTACTTCCTTGTGAAAGGTATTTTCTATCAGACTTGCATCATTCCTGATAAAACCTCTTTGTTTGCCTTTCCACGTTTTTTTTTTTTATCATTTCTAAACAGGCAGATTTTAAAAGCTGAAAAGGTCAAAGGTCACAGCCTAACAGAGGGCACCATCTCAGGGTAGTTGGACATCCTGATTTTCTTTTTCCTGGGGGAAACTATAGGCTTTGTGTTATTTTGAGTTTATTTATCTTTCTCAGACTCAACAGGACATCAGTCTGCATGTTTCAGTCCAGGAACTGATTCTGTCTTTTTACACCACAAGAAACAAACGATCCAGTTCCTTTAATAACTGGATTTTACTTGTCTGTTTTTTTTTAATTAGTCTGGAGACAAAACCACTGCCCACATAAAACATATTTGAGTAATATAATCACAGTTTTATTNTTTTTTATCATTTCAAAATAAGAAAAACAATACTTTTAAAGAAAAGGGCTTATTTATATTTTTTACAATTTTGCTCATTTTTGCCAAAAATAATAATTAAAATAACTCCTTTAAAAGACTTTAGAAAAACAACAGTGTCAGTTTTATATAACAGGTACAGCAAAGAAAAGTTTTGCAGTATCTTTTTGATGAACAAACAAAACAAATGCAAAGTACCTTGTTCAATAAGTCACAATAACAGTTTTCTAATTATGTCACACTCCTTTTAAGGACTGTGAGTGTTGCCAGTTTGTGATTCAAGTTTCTCACATCCCTGTTGGTTTGTACTGCCAAACACAATCAATGGGAACATTTTAGCTGCTAATCAAACACAAATCACACACTCAGTTTTTAAATCCATTTGATCCCTGAAGCACAACGTATTTTGGCAGAAAAAGCAAAAAAATAAAAAAAATAAATAAAAATAATCTGCTGGAGAGAAAATCCGCAGAGAGGAGAAATTCCCTTTCTGTAACCTGGCTGTTTGTTTGTGGGCTGCAGCTGCTGCTCACCGAGTCTAACAGTGGGAAAGTAAATCCATATATGTGAAGCCTGTGGGCTCACAGACAATTGCATAAGCTCAAGCATCACCGAGTAGATTAACCTACACTGATAACCACAGGCTGTTGACGTCAGTGCTGCTCAATGCTTACAGCCTGCACCACCAACACGCAGCTCTTCACATTTGAGAGGTTGCCCCGTTCCGATTGTGCAACACAGGAGGAAGTATAGATCAGTTCTATCTCCTGAGGTTGAGTGTTATGGCTGCCGAGGTTTTAGTCGTGTTGCGTAATTGGCAATTCCACTGGAATAAATGTTTTTGCTTTTGGCTGCTCCCTTCTACAGTGTTTGCAAAACAATTTGGCAATCGTTATACACCAGATGGCCTTCCTGGAAACCTGGGCTCGAACCCGTAGCCCCAGAACTATGAGACTGCGACACTGACCACTGAGCTACCAGCACCTCAAATAAAAATACATGTTATTTTAGCTTGCAGAATTAATTTTATTCATTATATATTTCAGTTTTACTCAAATAACCTTTATATTAAATAATTTTATAATTAAGCCTTATATGCTGGGCATTATTTGGTTTCTGCACATTTAAAACAGTAAACTATAAAATTTGTAGTTCTATTTCATCTACTGCCTAAAATCTTTACAAAACTCAAGAATTTAAGCAAAAATCACATACATACATACATACATACATACATACATACATACATACATACATACATACATACATACA